ATAGCTCTGACCTGTCAAAGCATCGACTCCGTAACATCTCTGAAGGTGTCCTGTGGTTTCAGGGACCAAGATGTTACCAGCAGAACCTGTAAAGTTCTGTAAGTTGTAAAGATTAGACTGCAGGGATCTGACTTGTTTCTCCGGCACATTCAGAGTCAAAGTCAGCACCTTAAACTCTTTGTCACATTCTTCAAACCATTTCTAAAACACATTTGTCATGTGGCAGGGAGCATTATCCAGCAGGAACAGGCCTCTTCTATTAGGGATCGGCACATCATGTCAAAGCAACATCCACATAAATGCAGGAACCAAGCGTTCCCAGCATAACATTGCCCAGAACATCACACTGCCTCCACCCGCTTGCCTTCTTTCCTTCCATAGTGCATCCTGCTTCCATCTCTACACAGGTAAACAACAAACGCACAAAGCCATCCGCATAATGTTAGAGGAAATGTCATTCAACAGACCAGACCACCTTCTTCCATTGTGTCCATTCTAGGACATTGACTGGTCCGCAGCTATGTGTTCAGATGCTTTTATATCATTTCCAGTGTAAAACTTTTCAATAATTTGAGCTACAGTTGCTCTTCTCAGAACACACAGGTCACTGTTCACTCTGCACCGTGGACATCCATGACCCTGTCCCCAGTTCACCAGTTGTCCTTTCTTGGACACTTTAGTAGCTTCTAACCACTGCATACCGTGAAAACCCCACAACATCTGTCATTCTGGAGACACTCTGACCCATTTGTCTGCCAACACTCTTGAGCCCTTGTCAAAATCATTCAGATCCTTAACTTTGCTTGTTGTTCCTGCTTCCAACACACCAACTCTAAGACCTACTTGTTCACTGTCTGCCTGATATAGTCCAACCCTTGACAGGTGCCAATGTTAAGTAATAAAATAATGTTTTTCTTTTACTTCTCACTTGTGTTTATTGTAAATAGTAAATGAGTAAAGAAAGAGATGAACAAATAGAAGCTAAAAAATATATATAAATTATACATCTTTCCTCGGGGATCTTTCGATTTCAACTTCCCAAATCTTTCATATCACGGTGGAGTAGAGATCAAATGAAAATCGAGTAGGTTTAGCTGGAGTTTGTGTGTTATGTATACTGACTGATGCACAGATATGTTCTTTGCTGCACATACGCCGCCTTTGATGACTGTTTGATCTCCGTCTCTCAAGCCTCACAGCTCAAATCGTCATATACTGTTTTATCAGTATTTTCACACAATATCTCGATTTCACGTTGAGCCTTTAACTCTCCTCTCAGAGCCGAGGCTGCTCCATCAGATATGTGCTTGAATCTCAGCGTTCTGAAGATCTTCTGTCCATGTTTTGCTTGCCAAGCTTGATGCTGAGACTTGCACATGCATGTCCTTAACGATTACTTTGATCTCTACTTCACTAATTAAATTCTTTTCACTCTCACGTGGTCTCATATGTGCATTAATGTTTCCATAACTCGTGTGGATAAATTGTCCTGTGATGCGCATCTGATGGTTTATGATGCTGAAATTCTCTTGAAGGTCGTATTGATTGCTCTGCGTCTTTGGTCAGAGGTGGAGTTGATCTGCAGTGGGACTCTTTGATGTTGGCTTTGATCTCCACATCACAAATCCCTCATTATGCTGTTTTAAGTGTTTCCTGTAAGAAGCATTTCCATTTGATGTGAAGAGACTGTGATCTTTGTCAGAGCTGAAGCTGTACAGCGCCGCTCTGCTTGTGATTGTTTGTTCTCTAGTAAACTTTTCTTGCTGTTGTTTTGCTAATTTGATCAGAGGTGGTGGTCCTCAGGGATGCTTCTCTGGTCCCTGCTACAAACATGCTGCCATTTAAACCTCTCTAGTGGTGCTAAAGGTTTCCTTTTACAGCCACAGAGAAGTGGGATGAGTTATTTTAGACATTCAGGGCTCTTGTAGTAACAAGGTTAAGTGAAGCACTTCTAAGACCTGGATGGGAATAAAACCAGCCTGGTTGAATGTTCAGGGTGAAATATGAGCAACTGCATAATAAAAGAGACAAGCTTTTTTTTATCTAACACCATAAGAATAGCGTAGAACTATGACTCTCAAGGTGCACTTCACTTAGAAATATCCGATCAAGAGGCTTCTCATGCTGTTCAATGAGCCACTAACAGTGAGGGCGAACTGAAGATGACTTTTTGTTGAAACATGGTGAAAGTTCACGATCAGATTTTGGGCCAGTTTTGGATGAATTTCTCTGACACAGTGTTTTGTTGGCAAATGCCAGAGAGAAGCTTTTTGAGTTAGCAGCAGCTGTGATTCACATCTGTCTGGCTCTGTCTCCACAGAACCAAGGACTGAGGATCTTGGTAGAAGTTTAAGCCGAATGAAGCTGACATGAAAAACAGCGTTTCTGATTAACAAAGCTGCTATAATTCAAACACAGGTCCATCATAACTCCCAGGACTGTTTATTCCCAAAGCTCTCTCTAACTCAGGGTAAAGAGCTTTTATGTATGTTGTGTCTTCTGTCGTGAACCTTTAAAAGCTTGATGTAAAACTGCAAAACGTGGTTCCTCTGTACATTGAAATCAGTGCTGTCCAACCTGTCGGTCGTTTAGAAGTTAACGTGTTTATTTAATTCAGTCTTAGTCGTTTTAACGATTGTTATTGGGTTGTTTTCAGAAATGCTGCAGGTCTT